GAGGGTTCAGCTGAAGTACTAGTTCCCAAACTGGCCTACACAAGAGAATTTCCTGGTGAGATTATGGAGACTCCTAGTCGCAGGTGATTCTGGCTTAGTTGGGACCTAGAAATCGACAAATTAAGCAACTATTTTAGTGAATTCGACTGCAGTCACACTATGTCCTAGGGAGCGACTCTGGAATTAGGTAACCACTAATGTCCTTAGCTTGATTCAATTATGATTATAAAGACAAGATGAATTGAATAGGCAATCAAGGGTGGGACATCTTTAGGCACCACGCATTTGGTGATGAAAGGGGACATGTCAGTGTCCCAGGTTTGCAGGCTAGAACTCCAAAATTAAGGAATTGGTCAGCCTATGCGCTCTCTTACAACTGTAAGGAAGAACCCTCCCTGGCCTCTGTAGCTTCTAGCACATCCCAGTAGTCCTTGGTTTGCAGACCTGTCTCTGCCGTCACGTGGCTGTCTTCCCCCGTGTGTATGACACTGCCCTTCATCTATGTGTCCCTGTCCCTTTTTATAAGGGCACCAACCATATTGGGTTAGAACATACCCGAATACTTTAACTTGATTACCTTTGTAAAGACCCTTTGTCCAAATATGATCTCATTTCGAGGCACCGTGTCCCAATGGTTAGGACTTTTAGAATATCTCTTTGGAGGTCACAATTTAACCCACATGAGAGTGTTTTCATGGAAGAGTTAAACTTGGAAAGAAAAGTGGTATTTTCTTAGGTAGACAGCAAGGATACAGCTTTCTAGCTGACAAAAACAATCTGTGAAGAAGAAATCACTGTGTTTGTCCAGGATAAAAAAAATAGCACAGCCTGGCCATCGGGCTTATGGAGGTGACCGTGGTGATGGAATGACGATTGTCATAGCTAACCCTGGTGGAGAAGGTGCCTTTCCCTGTACCCTCCACATTACATGTGTCGTAGTCCACAGCTACCCTAGAAATGGGTAATATTCTTCTACACTGCATAATATGGAAATGGTGCTAAAGTTGGGGGACTTCCCAAGGAAGGTTTATCTGACGCCAGATTTTTGCACTTTACGACTACAATCTAGTGCCTCCTTCATGTCACCAACACAAGATAAACTTGAGTGAGTGGATCGGGCTACTTTGTAGAGAGCTTTGATGACAAAGCAGGGGCTTTGTGTTTGATGTGGCAGGCAAGAGGAAACCACGTGTAGTGTCTGAGAGGTGTGCCACGATAAAGGGGTATTTTAAGAAGATGAGTATGTCATTTCCACCCGAGAATGTGTTTCCTTTTGAAAAAGAGAAGGCAGCCTCGTAAGTGAGAAGCCATTGACCATGAAGAGCTTCTTTTCACTGGGCTCTATCAAGTGGTTTGCTCTTCCTCACTGGTGTGTCTTAAGCAGGAATTTCCTTTAGCACATCAAGAAGTCGCTGCAGCTGAGGTTTTTTCTTCTCCCATCTGCTTTGTGAGTTTTTCACACGAGTGATAAAACACTGATCACGGTACGGCCCCAGTACAAATGCTGTTCAGTGAAACTCAACCTTGATTCATTACCTCTGCAAATTCAGATTTCAGGTCAGTGGGTTGTGTTTTGTTTGCTTTAAGCAGCACCTGTGGGAACCTCATTTCAGCCTGTTCTGAGCTTAGTTCATTATATATAGACTGATAATCTTCTCTCTGCTTCTGCCACGCGTGCCTCTTGTGGATAAAAATGTGTGTGAGAGTAAAAGTGAAAATAACAACGATGATGGCTAGAATGTATCAAGCATTTTATTACATACAGATTACTTTTCACATCCCTTAGCCAGCTGAATCAGAGAGAATGCAGGTGAGAAGTGATGAGTAACGGATCGCTGCAGTTAATGCATTTGGTCCAGGGACACGTGATGCTAAGATTAAGCCTCATTGGTTCTTACAGGATGACTTGAGTATAAATCCCCTCCCCCTGGTTGTAGAAATCTGGATCCATGCAGACCATATGCATCCCTCAAAACTTGAACCATCCAACTTCCTTCCCTACAGAAGATCGCCTACCAGTGTGTAAAGCTCCATACGAGTCTGTACTTCATGTCCCTGGGGAACACTTGGTGACTTGCTCCTTTCAATTGCCCTACTATTTGTGTCCTTGAATTGCAGTCTTAGACTGCCACCCTCCCAACCTCCTTCTCCATTTGGATGTTCATATAACAAGCTCCTCCGAGGTTGACTTCTATAAACCTCATTGGGGTGGAGCAGGAGCATATTTGGGTAGTGGAATGAAAACAGATGCGTGGACGTTAGTTGGCGAGAACAAGAGCCCCAAAGAGTCTTTTCTTTTTGTTTCCCTGCTCTGGTGATGTAATACACGGCCTCTGGGGAGACCTGGGGTCCTACCAGTCACTGCTCCAACACTGGAGCTCTATCCAGAAACAGCTGTCCGGAGCTAATTTATTTCCTAATGCTGCAGCGCTGTTAATTTATAAATTACACTGGTAATTCAAGCTATTATTAATTTCAGATGGTGTAGGGCAAGCCTAATTAAAATATGACACCAATTGCCACACATATGTACCAAGGACTACCATTTAAAATTAATGGGAATATTAAGTGTGACACTGGTCTCCGAGATGCTTTGCACAGTAATTAGAGCATTCTAGTGGGGAAAGATCTGACAAACTCGGTCCTGTGGTTGGTAGCAGATAAACAAGGACAACATAAGAAGAAAACAAATTCTTTACTTAAACCTCTTCTCCTCATTTCCTCCACTCTTGCTCAAATCAAGGTTAGTACTAAGTTTCCCCCCTAAAAACTGCTTATGAAACAATAATAATAAAGGCTACGGAGGCCATCAGGAGTTTCTTACTGGTTGGAACTAGGAGTCTATTTGGGTTAAGGTTGTTTGTTTTCCCCGTATGTTGGACTTTGGGGCCTTTTTTTCCTACTTATTAACATTCTCCTTGTCTGTCTTGTGAATTTCTTTCTTGCTTGTTACAATAGATAGAGGCTGTTTGTTTGTTTTTTCTCTGCTGTATGCAATAGAGCCAAAAGGGTTTTTGTGCATATATAGTGTCGGTCCTTGTGGCATGAAGATTTATGGGAAGGTACTGAGGTTAGGCTTGTTCCAGACAGTGGTAAAAACCTATTATGACCACGCAGTGCTGGCATAGTGGTGGAACAAGGGAGTGGCCTTTATTTATAAGATAGTTGTTTCAATGTTATTCCCTTGGGCATTGTTACTATGGTTATCTTGACAAAAGTGGTGACCTCTTGAACTTGACCTTAGAAATGAAGACAATACGACCTCAACATTTATACCCTCATGTTAATCTCAAATTTAAAGAAATGGAAGAACAGTTATATTTATGATTGTCTCAGAGAATAAGGAGAGTAAAGCATTACTTAAATCTCAGAAAAACGATGAAATGTAGACTCTTATTTATATTCCTGTTGTGAAGTGTTTTAAAGCAAGAGTGAAAATGTTTTAAAATCTCAGATTTTAAAATGGTAATGGTTGCGGCCTGCTGCAAATATACTAAAAAAACATGCGTGGTATAGTTTAAGCCATTGAATTGCATGTTAAGTGAATTATATCTGAATAAAACCATCTAAAAGAAGTGACGACCGTAACAGTCTGGGAACCAATACAACCACATCTTGCACAAGTTTCCGTATCAGAGCAGTTCCTGTAGTTTTCATTGTTAGGTTGTGGGCCAGCAGAAGCGTGGGCCATTGTGGAGGGGTTTCGTGACCTGGAGAGAAATGTTCCTTTGTTACCCTTTATTGGGCCACTCATATTATTATAATTTCACTCCAGCTGAATCTGTGCCTCCAGGCAGATCAGAGGGCTGATAGTATGTGACTAAATTAACAGGTGTGCAGGGCATGAGAACTTTTAAAGTGCTTTCGTGTGTGTGTGTGTGTGTGTTTTCCATGTGTTGCTCCCAGTAGCCCTGTGAGGTATTAGATACTAGGACCATACACGTATTATACCTGAGAAAATGTTTCTCAGCGGCCAGGGACAGTTTTAATTTGTGCTGATTGTCCTGTAGGAATTGTTTAGGATATCGTTATCGTAATTATCCTCATGAAGGCAGATGACCCAGGATGTAAGCAGTTATTCTTGTTTTTGACTGTTTTTTGGCAAGGAGGTGAGGACTGAGGCCTCTGAGAGAGAACTCTGAAATTGCCTCGCCAGCCCACATGTCTTGGGTTCTCCATGACTGAATGCTCATGGCCAGATGTGGGGTGTGGAGCCCGGCTGGGGGCGACTATTGTGATCGTTCATACTCTTTCACTAGAGAAAGTGAGTCTCAGGATGTTTCCGTGACGGAGCGCAGTTGCTGCCGTGGCTTCTGACTCTCCTTTCTGATCTACTTCTGGTTAGACTTCAAGCTCCAGGTCCCGGTGCTGGAGATCTTGTGCCTAAGAGCTTTTAGCAGATAGAAGCTTAGAAAATTGATTTCTGCCTATGTACTTAATAGTCTACATGAAAAATCAGGAAGTTAAATTTATTTTATTCGTGTTTCCATGACCTTTGTGGCTCCTGTGTGTGTGTGGGTGTGTAGGTAGGTATGTGCACACACACAGTTCTGATGTGGCTTTTTTAATTAACTCATGTAACAGGGCTGCCGTCATCAACTTGCTATTCAAGGTTCAGTCTAAATCATACCTCGAGATCAGAAAGAGTTAAGGGCCCTAACATAGATCCCTGAGCGGCACTGCTTGGTAAGATTCAGGCATTGTAAATGTCAAGATTATTAATCACTTATCAAAGACCCATAATTCTCTAGGTAGTCTTCTTGGTACAGGTAGGAGCACAAACATTTCAGCTGGTCTTCAGGGGAGCCCAGGGATATTTGGTGGTGGGAGGGGTAGAAGAGATGAGAAGGGAGAATCTGAATAATTCCTCCGAATCTGAACTTCCAAGTGGCACAGTTCTCTGCGGATGGGACCATTTTCCGCTTTGTTTTCTAATTTTCTATCTTCTGTGTCTTTCCCTCCTATTAATATATCACCACAACTCACTGCTCCTCCTGCAGCTGTTGGCTTTGTGAGTGAAGATGAGTACCTGGAAATTCAGGGCATCACCCGAGAGCAGTCGGGGGACTACGAGTGCAGCGCCTCCAACGACGTGGCCGCACCAGTGGTTCGGAGAGTGAAGGTCACGGTGAACTGTGAGTGTCTCACCCGCCGCCCGCCCCGTGAGGCCAGCCCACTGGCGTGGCCGCCACCTAGAGCCCGTTAGCAAAGCCCGCCGCTGACCCAGGACAGGAATTCACACGTCATCATTTTCCACACTCTGCTTTCAGGAGCAACCGCTTCAGACTCTAATATTTGACATCTCAAGGTGCCACAGTGTCACCTTGGGAAGAAAAAAAAAAAACCAGTAGCTGAAAGTAATTTAATACCAAACTTGACTTACATGGCTGAGAGATCATTAAATGGCATTCAATGCATAATTTATAAACACATGTCTTCAAATCCTAATTTTCTTCCCATAATTTACACACACGATGAAGTTGTCCAAGAGCCTCTCACTCTGGAGACCAGACATCTCCATAATGGAGCACAGATGACGTGTTAGGAACCAGTGGAGCCTGTGTGTATGGGGTGTTTATTGTACCTCATCTGTTTACAATTATGGATGTTGACGTGTATGGTATACATGTATAGTTTGGACACAAATAGATTCTGGTTCTGATAGCAGAAGATTTATCAAGAATTTTCATTTTTACTGATAGAGGTACAGAATCCAAAAAGTTTGCAAATGACTGCTGTGGACCCTGTTTTATCAACCACCTGAATTCTCTCCAACTTCAAACGTGTTCCAGTCTCCTAAGTTTCATTATCCTTCCCCCTCTGGGTTCCTCATTATGCCCTCTGACTCAGGTCCCTACACATTCGGAACGTTTGCTGTGCTTGCACACTCCAGGAAGCCTCATGACAGAACAGAACCCAAGACCAAACCAGCAAGAACAAGCCTTTTCCCTTCAAAACTGGGCAGGGCCAGGGTGTGGAAGTAGTGGAAAGATTCTGGGTGAATGCTAGTCCTTTTCTTTAATACTCCTTCTGTGACAGTGCAAACCTAGTCAGCATGAAGCCCTTTAAAAAATAAGGAATAGGTATAACAATGTTACTATTTTTTTGTACCATGCAACTTTTTTCTTTTTTCTTTTTTTAAGGGACTGAGGGCAGGGCATTGGTTCATGCATATAATCCTAGCACTAGGATTGAGGGGCCAGGGAATTGAGCTCAGGAGTCCTAGACCAGCCTGAGCAAGAGCCAGACACATCTCAACTAAAAATAGAAAAACTAGCCCGGCATTGTGGCAGGTGCCTGTAGTCCTGGCTACTCAAGTGATTGAGGGAAGAGGATCACTGGAGCCCAGGAGCCTGAGGTTGCTGTGAGCTATGATGATGTCTCTGCACTCTACCCAAGGTGACTCTGTCTCAAATAAATAAATAAGGATGGTGCCTATGGCTCAGTGAGTAGGGCGCCAGCCCCATATACCAGACATGGTGGGTTCAAACCTGACCTTGGCCAAACAACAGCAAAAATAAAAATAAATAAAATAAGGACTAAGATGATTTATAGTTTATCAAGATAAACCTAAAAAGTAGAGAAATGGAAACAAAAGAAAAATATGTTTAGGGGATGAGTGAAAGCTAAGGAAAAAACAGCACCTGGGCTACGTACCTTAAGGTTGCGAGGTGTGGGTTCAGAACGTGGTCTTGCTTTGCTAAAGTAAAGAGGAGAAACATCCCCTGCTTTAAGATTTATGTTTTCCATAAGATAAAAGCAAATTGGTTGCTTGGGAGAAGGAATGCTTTTCCCGGTCCAGAGACCCTAGAGAAAATTCTCTTTTAGAGTCTTCACAAATAGAGCACTGTAAGGTGTTGTCAACATTATGTACAGTATTTCTGCATGCAATAGAACAGCAAGTTTATTGTGGGTGTTTTTCATAAGGCTCCTCCGTGCAAACTGATAAAATATCAAGGTGGTTGGGTGAGGACTTCAAATGAGCACAGACCAAGTTTGTGAGTCTGGTGTGGTCTGGCTTGCCAGGGATCCAGTTTAGAATATCAAGTAGAATGACTGATGTGTGCCTCCTTCAGGCAATTTTCCTTGAATGTTATTTCTTGCAGCTGAGCTTTTGATGGGAATTGAGTAGTTCAAAGTTGTATACTTTGGCAAGAACCTGGTGTGCAGAAATTCTATAAGGCTGATTAAAGGTGCTGACCATCAACCCATGGAGCAGAGGGTTGATGGGTGTGCATTATCCTATGAAAGTTAAAAAGCGTTAAACAGAAAATAAGCTGAATCCCTGGTCATTCCAACTCTTGCAGAGGAGAACAGAAATAACACCCGCTAGGAAGACAGAACTCTTCCTTAGAATGGAATTGAAAACGTTTTCATTCTCTGGCATAATTTGTACAGCAATTTGACAGCACACGTAAACAGAGGTAGGAGAAGGAATAGAAAACAAGACGAATGAATGAAGCAGCCTTCCTCATCTCGAAATGCATTTAAAAACGCTATGGGACATTTTCTGTCTGCAGATCCACCATATATTTCCGAAGCTAAGGGTACGGGTGTCCCTGTGGGACAGAAGGGGACGCTGCAGTGTGAAGCCTCAGCAGTCCCTTCAGCAGAATTCCAGTGGTACAAGGATGACAAAAGGTGAGTCCCCCTCTCATCCTCTCCCCACGGCCACCTGCCCGGAAGGAGAAAACGTCCAGGTTCCCAATTCCAGATGGTTGCAAATGAATTCCTGTAAAATCCTCTTCTGAATTCCTCCTGTCTAATGGGGAGGAGGATATGCTAACAAGCTTTTCCTTAACATGAATGGACTTCAGCTAGATCTCAATATCCCTGTGCAGAATTATCACTTGCCAACCAGCAGGCTTGAGAGGAAACATTTTTTTTTTTTTAGGAAAGCAAAATCTCAAGAGGAAGTAGCAGTATCACAAGGTCTGAGAGTTTTCATAGGCCAAAAAATAACATGTTCCACCTGAAGCTATTTTTAACACTTTCTGAGGCTCCAGGGGTGGCTAACAAGTTAGTGGCAGCCAGTACGGGCGGCACTTCATCCCAGACATCATCAGTAACTGCGCATAAGAGCCCGTGACCTGGATACAGCCCTCCCTTTGTGCCCAAGTTGTTCTTTTACTAGAGGAGAAAAGTGAGAGGAATATTCCCTTCCTTCCCATTGTCGCAGCCGTCATTGGGATATTTGTTGTGAGTCACTGAAGATGATCATTTCAAGGAGTTATCGAATGGTGTGTCAGTGCAGGGATCAGTAGCTCGGCACAGCCAGGCAACATGGCAATTACTGTTATCAAAGAGCTATTTTAAGGTGGATGAACAACAAGGGAAAGTGCAGAGCTGTCTGTGCTGAGAACATTTTCATAACAATGGAGGTGCTGGGAGAGGCGATGCAAACAAGTACTGAGGTGTGTGAGGGGTGCTTAAGAGGGAAGGGATGGAGGTTGCAGAGCTGAGAAGAAAAGACAGCAGAGAAAGCGATTCTGAGAAGCAGAGCAGGGCGCAGAGCCCAGGGCAGGGCGGGCGATGTCACACTTCATGGGACTTGTTCATCCTGCCTGGCTTTTCCCTCCTTTGGCCATCAGTGAGACACCCCAGCTAGCCTCTGAATCAAAACCTGAATTCTGCTTAGAACCAAGTCACTAAGTCATAAGGTTTGGCTGTGTCTTAATCCTTCCAAATGAGAATGAGTGTTTTCTTTCCTTTAAAAAAAAAAAAAAAAAAAACTCTTTAAGGAAACATTCTGGCCGCTTGCAGTGAGGCGTATTGTACATGCCCACCCAGCCAGCTTCATGGACCAAGAAGCTAAAGTAGAAAGAGGAAGAAAGAACTCACAAAGAAATAAGAATTCTTCTTCTGGAGCTGGTTGTCCTTCTCCTAAGAATTCACAATCAGGCGGAAGGCGGTCATGGTATTTTTGCAACAAATAAACACGGTTACCTTACACAGAAATCCAACTTCACTTATTCCCTCCTCAAAAGAAGAAGAAATCGGAGACATAAAGGTCCATTTTTTAACAAAATAAAACAAACCAAAACCAATTGAGCTGTAGGGTCAGTTCCTGAACCTTTCATTGTCTGTGTCTTAGTGAAATTAATCAGCTGCATTACTTGAATTCTATATGGGAGGAAAATAGAAACTAAATATAGGGAAAAGCAAGATCTTAGAAGAAAATACAGCAAAAATAGCCAACAGTGAGGAAAGCAAGGACAGCGCTCTGCTCTTTGACTGCAGCCGTGGTCATAGGAGGGACCCCACCCCCACTGTCCTCTACCCTGGAGGACGGCACCCAGTAGCATGGCCAGGGGTGGTTTCCTTGGCTCGGCCAGTTTTGTCTCTTTCTTTCTTTGAGTTCTTCTGATGGCTTCTCCTTTTCTCCTCTTTCCCTTTCTTTTGGTCAGTTTCCCATGTATTTCCTGTGTTCTCCCATTGAATGGAGTTGTCTTTCTGCCTGGCCCGCAGCTCAGCAGCACCTCTGCCTCTGAGGTCCTCATCACAGCCGGCTGTGCCTGCCAGGCACAACCTGGGCAGGTCTCCAGGGGCACATTGCTTCTGCCCTGGGGGGAAGGCCAGCTCTCACTCAGCTCCCATTTTCAGTAAGAAGAGCAGACTTCCGAGGCAAATTAAAGGAGTCTGTGCAGTGAGGACAAGCAGTTTTCTTAACATTGAGGTCAGAAGTCTTTTGGCTGCCAGTGCCACTCCACTGTATGCCACTGCGTGTGTTATCAGTCAGAGGATGAGAAGATGGGATGCTGTAATTAATAAGGGCCACCAGCCCAACAGGGGCATGAGCCAATGAAAAGCCCGTGGCTTCATTAAGAAACAGAAGCCTGGTAGCAGTGCAGGATGGGGGAAGGTGTGCCCACCTGGAATGGGGCAAAATGTGTCATCCCAAGAGCTTCAAAGCTCCGCAGAGTGCTGCCAGACTCCCTGCAAGGTTTTTAGTGAAAGACACTTCAGAGCTGTCAGGCAGGACCCTGCTTTGGGTAAGTCTCTCCCACTATAGAGCCGGAATCTCATTTGCAGCTTGGTTACGATATGAAGGCTCCCTCTCCATCCCAGGACTGTCAGAATGGCAGCTGAGATCAGTACCCTGGAACAGCTCACAGAAGCCTCCTGGTGGGTGGTATGGAGAGTGGTCTGTGGACAGCATCCCCTGAAGGATCAGTATCTACATAGCAGAAGTAAAAGTGGCCTCTGACTGCACAGCCAGGTGCCTCATTCCATTCAGAGAGTGCTAGCATTAAAAACCCATGGACTCAGGCCAGTGCCCTGCCCCTGGCTTTTGAGAGAGGAAGACTCCCAGAGGAAAACCTACTTAATAAAAAGCAAGGCAAGGCCTTCCAGAGCGTCTTCTGACTTCCCCGGAGACGTTGGGTGAGAACCCCAGTGAGAACCTGCCTCTCTCTTCTGATCAAGGTTACTGTAAATTTTGGGAGTGGAGAGAATTATTTCATAACCCCACAGAGATCAAGTCTTCAGATAATGACAAAGCAGCTGCCCTCTGTGCCAAATCATACTGTGACCCGGGGACAGTCTTCTGTGTCTGACTCCATAGAAGTGCATTAGACTGAATTGTATTGTGTAGTCTACAAAGCATTTTCTAACCATTGTCTTACTGGGCCTCGCTTTCTTTTTCGGCCTTGAATGTGATCTTTCCCGGTTTGGTGACTCCGGTACCAGCCATTTGCCCCAAGTATGCTCACCGTGCTTTGTTCCACTGTGTCCTTACTGTGACACCGTCTACTTCCTAATAGTTCTGCTCCAGCTCAGCCCTACCAGGAAATGTAGGTTTCTATTCCTCCATATTCTTCTTTAAACAGAGTTTTCTGCCCCAGCAGTGTTTGTGTTTTCCGTAACATCAGGTCAGCTTCTGGATAAGGATTACAAATTGTTTCTGGGAAAGTAGAGCGTTGCCTTAAAGCCCAAATTCTGAAATAGGACATTTCAGAAATCTAATTTCAGATTTTTTGCATGCCCACAATTATAATAGGAATTGCTGTTAAGAGCTCCTGAGTTGGGCATAGTGGCTCACGCCTGCAATCCCAGCACTCTGGGAGGCCAAGGCAGGTGGATTGTCTGAGCTCATGCATTTAAGACCAGCCTGAGCAAGAGCAGACCCTGCCTCTAAATATCGGGGGAAATTGTGGCAGGTGCCTGTATTCCCAGCTACTCAGGAGGCTAAGGCAAGAGAATCACTTGAGCACAGGCTGAGGCACGAGAATCGCTTGAGCACAAGAGTTTGAGGTTGCTGTGAGCTGTGATTTCACAGCACTCTACAGAGGGTGACAAAGTGAGACTCTGTCTCAAAAAAAAAAAAATTTAGGCACTAAATGGGAGCTTCCTTTGATGTGATTGTGACCAAGGGGTGCCAACTCCAGCTCAATAAATTTGTTTCAGGTGGGTTGCCACTCAAGGATTTATTTGGGACTTCATTTCCAGGAAGACATGGAAAGCCAGTGCTCCTATAAATGGAGTAACTGAGTGAGACTCTTTCTCAAAAAGAAAATCAAGAAAATATGCCTACTGTCCCCTAAAACAGCTTTCTTCTTACCCTAAGTCCCCAGTGATAGAATCCATGGTTTTAATAAACATGTCTACCTTCTCTCAGACACTTACTACCTGTGGCAATTCTTCAGGCCCCCTGGGACCCACACAAGCCCTGTGGCATCCTGGGCAGCCATGGTGAAGTCCAGGGACACTGTAGGCTCAGTAGGATCATAGTCTGAGGGGTGGCAAATCCTTCCCACGCTGATCCCCTGCAATACTCTGATCAGATCACTCCTCTCAAGCCCTTCAAAGGCCCCACCTGAGAAAATTATTATTCTCCCCTCTTCATAGCCCCCCAAATGAAGTGCTATCTATAGAACACCTCATGTGCTTATGGAGAAATTTTATAACCCAGGTGCTTGAAAACCATTGTTCTTTCTAAGCCCTCAGATTGCTCTTTTCTTCAGAGCTTGAGTTTTTCATTTTCATGGTGGTCATCAGCATCACCATCACCATCAAGTACCGTGGGGCACTTGCTGCATGGGTGACATCGTTCCCAGTGTCACAGTTTGCACAGTGTAACGTTGTGGTGTGACGGATGGGCTTACAAAGCAAGGATAAGAGGCTGCTCCTGCCTTCAGAGAACTTAAATACCAGTATAGGGCAGTGAGATACCCCACGGCAGCGTCTCTGGGCACGCACATGAAAACAGAAACCCCATTACACATTGGGTGTGAACTGATGGAGCAGTCGAGTGGTGCAAGCAGCAGTTACAATGGTGCCGGAGAGGAGGCACCGGAGAAGATCATGAATCCCAGACTCTGTCTTCCTCCTAGCAGAGAAATGTAACCATGCCTTTTTTTTCTCCTTGTATTGTCTCTTGTGTATCTCAGACTGATTGAAGGAAAGAAAGGTGTCAAAGTGGAAAACAGACCTTTCCTCTCGAAACTCATCTTCTTCAATGTCTCTGAACACGACTACGGGAACTACACTTGTGTGGCCTCCAACAAGCTGGGCCACACCAATGCCAGCATCACGCTATTTGGTGAGACTGTGCCCTGGGCTGGGCAGGGAGATGGGGAGAGAGTGTGAGCAGGAGAGGGGCTGGGGAGGGGAGGGACGGGACAGGGGGGCCTGCGAGGGCTCTTTTCAGAAGTACTGAGGCAGGAGTGAGTAAGAGGAGTCAGAAAGAGGAGATACAGAGAGGAGCAGAGAAAGAGCAAGAGACAGAGGGAGGGAGAAACCGGCACGTGTCTGAAAGTAGATATTAGGAGCAGGAAAATAAAAATGAAAAAGGACATTCACGTTTCACTCTATAGTGGGAAAAAATCCCAAGACAAGAGGAAAGGACTTGGGGATGCCAAAAAAATGACATTTGATTATTTTTTCTTAGTGATATCACCTAAACTGTCTGCAGGGTTTATAATTAGGTGAAATAATCAAGAGCTCAAAATGTTGTACTAGTTCAGTATTTTGCTTGTCACTTTAGTATGAAATTTCCCCTTGTCTCAAACTGTTTCCAGTCATCCATCTCCATCCCCTATTTGGCTGGTGTTTTGCTGCCAGAAGCAAGTGGGCAGCCCCTGTGGCCCCGTTCACCCCGCCCTCTGTGAGCGGAGAGCCCGGCCTTGGGGCATCTGCCCTCATTGTGCCATCAGGCCTCTGCTGGTGGCTTCCATCCCTTGATGGACGCACATCCTCCCCATCAGTTGCAGTGTTAATTTCCACTTGCCTTTTGGACAGATTCCTTCATACTCCATCAAGTTCAGTGAGTTTAGGACGGTTTGAGTTGTTTTACACACACCCCCTCCCACCCCTGTTAACAAACACACTTGTTCAATATGAAGGGAGGGAAAGCAGAGTCATTGGCAGATAATTGGCAACACTTAAATTCCTTTTCTTCTGAGACCTCTGGGACAGTCCTGTAGCCTCCAGGGCGCTCCACCACCCCTGCCCCTGCGACCTGCCCTGGGTGGCCGTGTGTAACTGACTCTGAGTCACAAGCCTGGGCTGCTCCACCTTGCCATCTCTGCTTCCAGATCACATCCTCTCCACCTTCTGCCCAGCACATAAAATAAAACCCAGCTTTATTTGAGAGGGCCGGGGATGGGAAGGCCGCCCTCCATCCCCAGCCGCCAGCTCAGAATGGGCAGAGCTGTGATGAGAGTGATTGATCTGTCTGACATCTCACACACAGGGATGATCATAAGTGCCCCTCACATTTGTCAAGCCCTTTTGGCTTTTTGGCAGGTGTCTGTCTGCATGAACAGAGGGCCAGGATTTGGAAGGAACAGACTGCTTCCTCCCTTGCCTTGCAAATCTAGTGCTCCCCCTCACTTTCCATTAAACTCTCCCAAATCCTGCCCTCCACCCACAGAGACCTCAGCCTCCTCAGCAGTCTCTGTTCCCCTCTGACCTCCTTTCTCTACTGATTTGGACGTATAAAATGGTTTTGCCATTGGTTTGATCACTGCTGTCTAATTCCCTGGCTTTTCCCTTAAATTCATCTCAGAGTAATTCAAGAATAGAAAGAAGCAGCAAAGCCCCCCTTTTTTTCTAAGAGTGAAATGGTTGGCATTTATGACAAGCAAAGTAGTGAAGTAAAGGTGATAAATGTGCCCTTCTCAGTGGACCCATGTGTGGCAATTAAGGCTTCAAATTCTCCCCTCCCATCTTCCACCCCATGCCAGTATCTGCCCGCTCCCCCATATCTGTTGGCACATTCCTGCCATCGCCCCATCTCTGGAGTCCAGGGTTTTCTAAAAAGTACATTAAAAAGAAATAATATGTATCCAAATATGTTTAGAAAGATGGGGTCAACTGAAGATGAGCAGAGTGCACGGGGGATGTTCCTTAACACAGGAGGTCTCAGAGCCTGAACACGCTTTATCTCTTAGAGGGAGATGAAGTTTGCAGCATTTTCAAAACTTAATCAGAGGCCAGGCATGGTGACTCACGCCTGTAATTCTAGCACTCCAGGAGGCCTAGGGGAGGATCGCTTGTGTTCAGGACTTTGAGACCAGTCTGAGCAAGATTGAGACTCCGTTCCACTAGAAAACTAGCCAGGCATTGTGGCAGATGCCCGTCATCCCAGTGACTCCAAAGACTGAAGCAAGAGGATATAGCTTGAGCTTAGGAGGTTGAGGTTGCTGCGAGCTCTAATGCCATAGCACTCTACCTAGGATGACAGAGTGAGACTCTGTCTCAAAAATAAATAAATAAGTAAACAAACCAACAAACTTGGTCAATCAGAAGCCAATTCAGTGATTTAGCCTCAGCTGAGAGACCATTCCTGAGGAGCTCATCACAAGAAACGCTGCCTGGGTTCCCTAGTTCTGTAGAGCTAGTGAAAGCCCCTTGACATGTGAGAGGACGATTTCCAACCCACCGGCTCTTGCCGAGGCTAGTCCAGGCATTACTGTGGCCCCTCAGTTCATTAATGAGCTCACCATCAAGGAGCTCTTTGGAAAAACACGGATTTGTTTGAGAATTTTCCATGTCATTTTTCATCACCTTCCAGCCAGCAGACTCGCACAACTCTTGGCTTTTTGTAAACATACAAACTTTGCGATGGATTTTGCTGTCCTGTGGCATTACAGAAAGCCAGCTAAATGCCAGGATTTCAACACCAACTTGTGCACAAGCTGAACACTACCCACGTGAGCTAGGCAGACGTGGAGAAGTGAGGAGTTCTGGTGCAAGAGGCTTCCATCGTGAATGCAACCCGTATCTTTCAGGGTCCTTCGGCCAAATGAGAGTGGTTAACCCTTCCTCTCATGAACCAATAGGGCTCTGAGCACCTGCTCTCTGAGATTACTGAGCTTGCAGGAGGCTCTGAGTTCGGCTCCCATGTTCCCGAATCACAGAGTTTTGGGGGACCTTTTCACTATCGTATTGCCCCAGGTCCAGAATTCCTGAACTTGGTCTCCCATGATGAAACATTGGGAGGGGGAATCCAGAAGTGAAATCCCATCTGGAAAGAATCATTGGGCTTTTGTTACCAAATCAGGAACCCAGCCTGGCACAAGCTAGGCGGGATTCCGTGTGCGCTGGACATTGTGTAGAGTGGCCAGCTCCCTCACTGCCCGGCCGTTGCATCCCAGTACAGAAACACACAGCTTCCCAGTGTTTGTTTCGCTGCCCCGTGTCCTGCCGCCTTTGGTTTTTGTGTCTTTCTTTATTTATCCATTCCTGCAGAATCGTTTGTGAAAGGCAGTATACAAACTATATATGACCAATATATAGCTGCTGTATATAATATATGTGTCTGTTCTCATTTTTCTCTCCTGTATGTCCCTCACCCGATTTAGAACTAAATGAGCCCACAAGCTCAACTTTGTTGCAAGGTCAGTATCCTCCTGGCTTTATGTTTTCCCCCCTCCTGTCTCCCAGAGCCCCTGCTCCCTGCTTGCTTTCCCCGGGTGTGTTTCCTGAGCCCCCTGTTAGCCTGCTCAGGGGCTGGTGGTGCAGGGCTGTTTAAACAGGTTCCTGGGAGCTGCTGGGTAGACATCAAGGTAGACATCCCCTGCTCTGCCCAGGAAAGCGGGAAGGGGGTGGGAAATAAAACACCATTAGAAGCTCCAAGCCCAGAGGTGAGCATGGAGGCACAGTGCTGAGAGTAGTCTAGACCCCACCTCCAACTGATAGAGAGTTTTCATAACAAGAGTCCTATTCATGCCTCCCAGCGACACGATGATTCAAATACTCCATCACATGCATCAGCCAGTTCACCATGAGGCTCTCCCAGGGAGGAAGGTAGGAACGGTTGCCAACAAGCAATGCTCTGGAGGGGCTGCCGCGGAGATCTTGGTTAGAACCTAGCCGGCCGTAGTTCTCTGTTTTGGGGCGAGTCACTAAAGCTTATTTAGACTAAATTTCCTTTTCTGTACAATGCAATTGATCTGCCTTATCTCCCTTCCAGAGAAGTTCCAACAGTTAACCAAGGATGCATATTAAGAGGCTTTGAAAACTGTGGGGCGCATTTTGAATATCCAGATGCTGAGAGACAGGGCTCCCCTCTGGAGAGTGTCACGGGGCTTACTAACTCATTCCTCACCCCATCCCCTCTGTGGCTTCTCCCACTTCCCTTTCCCCATGACTCCTGCATCTCTCACTTCTCTATGCCCAGCCCTCCTGGCTTGTCCCCTAGCCTAATGCAGTGCTCATTAAGACCGTGACTAAACACTGGGGCTGGGGGGGAATGCACTTGGGCCCTGTGCACTGCTCTTCACCTCCTAAAGACAGTGCTGACCATGGCCATAGCCCAGTGGAAAGGCACCTGTGAGAGATGCTGGTCCCCACTGGCACCCCAACCCCATGGCCTCCCTCCTCCTGCAGACCCCCACCTGCCCTGTTCATCCGCTCACATTCTAGCTGTGTGTTTGTCAGAGGATGGCCATATTTGGAGAAAGTAGAGGAGGAGACAGACAGAAATGAATTATATGGGAAGCAGTTTGACAGATGAGGAGAAGCACTTTTATCATGAAAAGAGTCAGGGCTGCATTATTCACCTTGGTGATAAGTAGGGGCATGGTGGTGATCCACAAACAGGAGAAGGAAACAAGGGAACAGAAAGGAAAAATGAAGTCAGTGGAGGGATTCCGATGTGACTTGAGATTTCAACTTAGGTTTACCAAACTCCATGGGAAGGATGTTCACGGAGCCCAAATAGCAGGAGAAACACAGCTCTCACCTTGGGTAGAGGGATGAGGGAGAGGCTGAGACAGCATGCTGTGACATCCTTTCACAAGATGCTAAGCTAATTCTGCCCAATAAGACCTTCCTTCTTAGAGGAAACATGAAGCTTGTAAAACTCAGGTAGTGGCCTCTGACATGCTTATATTGAACTGAAGGTGTCTCAACTGATAGATATACAGTAAACCCACATCAAAGAAAACAGCAATGCAAACAGGTTACCTGGTTGCTGGGCATGGGGTGAGGAGCAGGTGACATTATTGTTACTCTGCACCCACTGAGATATACCTGGGATACCTAGCGTCCCTCTTTTGTGAGCTGATCAGTTTTGAGTGGACGCTTCTCTACACCAACTTCTTTGCTGGTCCTTGGGATATGCTCAACCCGTCATCTCAGCAACCTTCCTGAGTGTAGGGGAGTGGGATAGGGCAGAAGTCGTGGACTGCAGACACCTGGAACATTCTGCATTAGTGTGGTTTTCCACACAGCTGCTGGACTTGCTTGTAAACTAAAGATACTTTAGAGAAAGCAGAACTTGCACCCAGGCACGTTGATCTCATCTGTCTGTGTTCACGTTCCCCCTCTCCTCTCCTGGTCTTCAGTGCAATAGAGAGTGACCTGTTTCCTCAGGGAATACCCCCAAGTTATGCTTATCTTATCTCAGAAATGCCGAGAAAGATTTATATGAATGCGTGAATTTCCACTGAAGGAGGAACACTTGGCCTTAAGAGACGTTGAAAGCTATTTTGCTACCCAATATCTGGATGGACTAGGAGGATTTTGATAAGAGAATTTTGCTCCTCCTCAGCATTTTCTGCCACCATTGAAGTATTTCTCTGCTTTCCCTTTGCAAACACAACAGATTGCATGTCATCTTCTCGTGTTAATATTTGGTGGTGCAAGACTCTGCCGTGATAAATAAGGACTCAGGTATGGGCCTCCATTCCTCACTGAGCTTCTGCACAGCCAAGGGTGCCGGGGCTGCAGTGCAAGCTCAGCGGCTCCGTGGCTGTTCATTTTCCACCCATTGGCCCATCCTCTTTTATCTCCTAAGCATTAAGTCAGACTTGATGGTATCAGTGGGCAGGGAAAGTTTGGCTGATTAATGCCCGTGAACCTCACAGTGACCAACAGACCAATTTATTAAAGAAAAGAGGACTAAAGTAAACTCTGGATATCAGACAGAAACAGTTGCAGTGGAAGAAATGATCACTTCTTCCCTGCAAAGGATTGAAGATGGTTAATTAGGCCAAGTCATTCAACACTAGGCATTGTGATGTCATGGGTATGTCCAAATAGAAGATGCAAACAAACAAAAAATTCCTTCACCCACTTTCTAGAAAGCTGGTATATCCATCTTCACATGAGACCTGCCCCCTTCTGTCCATGAGAATCAGACAGTGGTCCTGTGCTTACCTGGGTTCTTGGATTCGAATTCCACTAAGTATGGGCTTTGCTGCCAAAAAGATCACTTTATGAATAGAACAGAGGGACTGACATTGGATGGGAGACTTGGGCTAGGAGGCTCTTTTTATTTTTTTATTCCCTTTTGTCCTTCCTCTCTCCTTTCCCCTTTCCTTCCCTTCCTTTCTCCCTTCTTTTCTCCCTTCTTTCCTTTCTTTTTCTTGCTTTTGAACATTTTTTCCCACTCTGCCTGGCCTCTTGTTAATATGCCATTAACAAAGAGATCAATTAAATTCCAGTCAAAGTCTTGGCAAGGAAAATACATACTTGGGATTGTTTTGTCTTCTTAAAAGCCTAAATGTCACTTATGACTTGCACTGGACACTCAGAGGACCCGACTGGTGTTGGACAATCCCCACCGTGACATAGAGGACAGTGCTAGAGTGTCCACATCTCTTCCTAGGACCAAAGCAAAGGGAATGGACTGGAGTGTGGCAGGATGGGGCAGAGCACTTATAGAAACATTGTGGTAGGACATGACTGGTGTGAGGACACTCTAGTTTACTGGGTAGATTGAAACATTGCTGTCTAGAAAAGCCCGAAGATGAATTCTAGCTAAAATCAAGAATGAGTGTCTAAGGGTCCTATGTGGATACAAATGCACCTTGGCTTCTTTCAAATAGTGTGTGTTGGAGATTCAGAGGAAAAAAAAATCTGGATGGGAATAAGTCAGCTGAAGTTATTTTCAGGCCTTTGCCTCCTTTTGGTTTGGGGGTAAAAGTTGTATGACATCTTCATCTCTCCCAGTCTGTCTTCAAACTATCCTCCTCTTTCCATTTTCCTTTTTCTTGGTACAGAGTGACTCATAAATCCATGGCAACTGAAGGAGACAATTCATGAAAATAGTCCCTCCTCAGCTTCTGGGCTGGCTTCTAGGGTCCAACAAGCGCTCTAAAGGGACCATCCTTACTAAATGTCCAGGCAGCATGGCACTGGCACTCCTAGTTTTCCTCTGATATTCTGCCTTTATATCATATCTTCTCTCAATCACAAGACATTTGATCATAGATCACCTCTTATATCTTTACGTATTCAGGGTGGCTTCTCAGGGTTGCTTATGTTCACTTAAATCAAGACAGATACCTATGTCAGGTGCTCTTAAAGAATAGATTGGGAGCTTGAATGTGCAGGTATGTATGCACCTGACTTTTAGCAAAGATGATAGTTGTGTTTAAGGTAAGTTGTGTCTAGGTTGTCTTTCTGTATATAAGGTCCTTTGCACAGAGAACATAGGCTCCCAAGGTATCACTTCAATGCAAAAGGGTTTAACTCCATTTTCCATCCTTCCTATATCCATGGTGAGAAGCTACACAGGCCCTTAGCTAAAGAGAGAAGTAAAAGATTAAGAGATCATCCCAAATTCAGGTCAGATAAGACATCAACTCTCCACAGAAAAGGTGGGGAGACCTTGTGGATCCTTCTGAAACTGGTGCGATAGGTTTTTCATGGTCTATTCTGCATAGAGGGGCTGGTCCACAGGGAAGTCCCACAAGTCCCAGTACGGCAGCACAGGTGTGGGTGTCACCGGCTTGGGTGACCTCAAAGAGATGAAGCCCTCTTTGCCCAGCTTGGTGCTGTCCAACTCATCAAGAGTAAGCCACCTCACCAGTGTGTCTAAGATGCCCAGCTCAGTGCCAGACATACTTTTACATTTCAAACTTGGTACGAGCAGCTACCTACATTCAGACAGCTTTAGCATAAATCCATGAACTTTATGTGTAATTCCTACAGACTTCAAACAATTTGGAGATCTCCAAATTGATGATGACCAAGTTGTTCTACAAACTCTTAGCTTGGTGCTGTGGGCCTCAAGGTGTGGCTGTGTCACCTGCTGAGACCAGGTGGATATTTTGATTCTGCTTGAGTCTGTGGTCCATTTTGCCCATGTCTTTCTCCTGCCCTCAACTCACCCACCAAAAACCAGAGGGGTGACACATGAGTGCTGGGCTGCTGTAAGACACAAACGCAGGAGGCCTGGGGAGGTTCCTGGCACCACTCGCTTCTAAGATCTTCTGAAGGCAGGTGTGACGCCTCCGTCTGCTTTCTCCTACCTTAACAGTGGCTTGTTTTTTAATTTCTTTTAGAAGTGAAAACTACAGCCCTGACCTCTTGGAAAGGTTTGTATATTTCTTTTTCAGACAGCTGCAGCCTTGGTGGGAAGGGGATATGTAAAACTCTTCACCTTCCTCCAAGATAACTTCTTTGCTAAGCTAACCCCAGGAAGCAGCCCAGAGGGAACCCTCCCCAATGCTGAGCTGTCTCTGTGTCGATTTAGATTAACCCCATCCCCAAGGACATCCCATCCTCCCTGGGTGGCTTCAACCTGCAGAAGTCTAACTTCTCCTCATTGCTGGCGGCACTAATGAGCACCTGTCAGTGCCCAGAATAGCTCCATCTCTGGGCTTCTCTGTTCCAGGCCTGTCTGTCCCCCTTGCACACTGATGCTCTAATGCATAGATCTTCCTAGACCTCGGCCCCGCATGCTGCTCTTTGCTTGCTCCGTTCTTTCTTTCTTTCTAACTTGGAGCTAGAAGAAAAGGGGGGGGAGGAAGGGGAAGTGGGAAAAGGGGGAGGTTCTTGGATGAGTCACTAAGCTACGAATAAAATGCATCCTATTTGAGGCTTTCATTCCTGCCAGATGTTTCCGATGGATAATTGACACTCATCACAGTTCCCTAGGACCCTAACCATCCTGGTAATTAGTCTCTTTAGGCCTCTGCAGCTCTCTAATGAGATAGAGGCAATAGAGGCCTCTAGTGTGGCATGGAGGCGTGGCTAGATGAAGAGCAGAGCCTCATCTGGGTGGCCCATGTCACCAGGCAGATGGCCCAGCTGTCAGTCTGAGAGGGCCTTGCTCTCAGGACACTGTGGATCATGCCTTCCTGGACCAGAGGTCCTCGTTTCATAGGGTTCTTCCAGGCAACATTCAGTTGTATGGAGTGGCCTGTGGGAGGCAGACCGGCCATGTCTGCAGCGCCCACCTTCACCAGCGCCTGGCCAGGCAGCCCTCTGACTGCCCCTTCTTCTCTTCATTCTCTGAGTTAGTGGGGAGAACATTTCATTTGAAGACAGAAGTCAAGGGACCTTGGGGAAGTGCCTTGAGCTGTCAGATGCTAAGTTTCCACATGTTAGAAAAGGAACTAATAGTCCTCATCTCCTGCACGAGTGTCATTAAGGTCATTAAGGTCTCATGGTAGCTTCCCAAATGCAGGCACTCTGACTGATGTCCTAACTGATGTGGCCTTGCCTCTGTGTGGACATTCCCCTAGCCGCAGGCATTTTCAATGACTGCATTGGCTGTAGTTGGAAAATGGCAGAAAGGATTCAGAGAAGGAAAGTGAGGCGGAAGATAAAGCAGGAAAGGCATTTCTCGTTGTGTTTTGGCTCAGTTTATTTTGTTGTTGTTTATTCTTCTCAAGGTATAATTTATAAAGGTAAAACCCACAAAGACAAATAAATATGGGCATGTCGGCATGGGTCACAGTGTCCCCTCCCTCCTCAGTAAGCAGTGAACACCTGCCAGGGGTTAGTGAGACACAGACCCTGCCTGTAAGACACTTAGGGCACAGAGGACAAAATACATAAATTAGACAAATAGAAGAATTGTGATGCAGAGGGGTGAAATTTTAACAGCAGGAAACGTATGATGCTGAGGGGCCAAACTGAAGTCGGTCACGGAAGGTTTCAGGCAGAAGGGAGAGTGGTTTAAGGTGGGGAAGAAAGACAGAGTGGCTAGAGGATGGCTGTCACGAGCAACCGCTCTAGTCTGTGTTATACAGGATGGGCGTACAGCTGGAAGTCAGGCTCAGGGTGGAGAGCAGACAGGTCACAAAATGTACAGCACATTCTGGCTAGAAGTCAGGAATTTTTGCTCAGTCTGTTGGACTCAAATAGATTAGCAATAGGATCAATTTGGAATTGTAGAACCACCACCCTGGAATTGGCATAAGGAATAACTTTGAGGGGTCACGGCCTAATGCATGATCTTTTGGGGGAAGTACAATGAGATGGTGCAGGCTTTTTGTTTTGAAAGGAGTTGTAAGAGGCAGCTACCCCCTTTTTCTTCTTCCCTCTGTCCAGCTTGGTCCCAGTCAGGTTTCATGGACATGCAGAGGGAACAGACAGGACCCTGAGGCAGCAGATAAGTTTGTGTGGGGTGACACTGGGTGGGCTAGACATGGTCAGGCACAGTCAGTGCCGGCCCCTGACCAGGGAGCCCTTGGGGCTTTCCTCAGATACACTCCCAGCAGGAGGATAGCTGGTGGGCAATTGGTGGCCATTTTCTATCTTCTGTTGGTAGTTCTGTGACACAAAGTTCAAGACCCATGCTTGAAAGCTCTCTGCGGTGCTTCCCAGCAGGGAGCAGAGTCACAAATGAGCCCTGAACACAGGTGCCCAGGGAGAGCGCCTGGCACAGCCACTAGGCCATTGAGACCTGCCACAGGAGGCATTTGCCAACTCCAGCTGCCTCCAGCTCCCTGGCCTGGAAACAAGTTTTCAGCCTTTTCTTATGTGACAGCAGGCCAGTCTTCCGCTGAGCTGAACACCTGTTTGTGGCATTGTCCTCCCTGGAGACCTCTTCTGCCTGGTCAGCCCTAAAAGGAGAGAATGGAAGAAGGACAGGGAGAGCATCTGGAAACTGAGAAGTGACACTCACCCGCCTCTCTGTACAGAGCATCTTGGCCACAGGCGGGGGCAGGGAGGGAGGACAGGATGGAATGGGGAGTGAGCGTCAGAGCTGGGTGCATGTTCAGGAGAGCAAAGGACGTGAAGGAAGCTGACAGTCATGTGGCTGCTGTGGGTCCTGTCTGCACAGCGTCCCAGCCGTGCAGGACATATCTGGAATCACACTGCACAAGGCACGTATGAAGATGGAATGTGACTGCCCAGTCTGCCCAGGTGAAAGGGAAGACGGCTCCCACAAAGGCCTGCTGGGCCAGGTGGGCTCTGAATCAGCCTTTGTATCTCAGAGGCTCAGCTTCTAGCCCTGCACAGGCAAGGGCCGTGGTGGGGCAGAGCTGGGAGTGGGAGATGTGGAGAGCACTTCCTCCAGGGAGGGGTCATGACCTCTCACCCCTGAAAGCAAAAGGCCGCAGCTTCTCTGATACCAAGAAGTGGGCTGTGTGGACAAAGCGAATGGATAGAAAGGTGGAGTTTCTGGTGATGCTTTATGTAGAAACCCAGTAGGGAGGTTCGAGAAGACATAAGTGCTCAGTGACAAACCCCAAATGACAAGTGTCTACACCTGAAGTGTTAGCCCTCAGGAGCTCTATGAGGAAGTTCCCTGGTCGCCTGTATCCTACCACAGAACCCCTGGATCTGTGCTGCCCAGCACCTCTCCTTTTCACAGGGTAGACTGGAGGATAAGGAGCCCCAGAGCTGCCCAGCACGGGGTCCCACACTGCCAAGAAGTTCTGGCCTTGGGATTACTGCACACCAGACCCCAGGGGAAGATGGAGGTTGCACGAGCTATTGCATTTCAAACATGGGGCTGTCTCTGAATCAGGGACTAAGAAATAAAACCAGATGGGCAGTGCCTCCAGGCCAGGATTTCCAGGGCTTGATGGGATAATCCCATATAGAATGAACAATCCTGGTTGGATTCTGATCTCCTTTAGCTGGAAGTGTGAGCAATGCTGAACATCTGAAACAAGCATGTGGGTTCTGGCCATGTTCCTGACTCCCCCTCCTCCCCATGAGGACATGAGCCTTTTGAGGCCCTCAGCTTTGAATCCATTCATTAAATCCAGAGCAACAGGGCACGCTAGAGAAGGTCTGATCTGAGAAGGCAGTGGTTTCCTTAGGTACCTAATTCCTCTGGGCCTCTGGACACGTGTGCTGCTCAGGAATTACAGCTCCATTAGGGGAGCTCTTAGCCACTGGGCTAAGGTAGCCAGAAGGCTTATGTTCCAGGACAGTCAGGAAGTTGCTGGGAAATTGTATGACCTTGGAGTTCTTTAGCCTCCTGAGTTTGTCACCATCTCAAAAAGTATCTGTTCATAGGCTAGATCGGTTCTGTCTCAAAGGAAAATGCCCCCCATCTCCTCAACATGGACGTATGCTGGGGCAGGTTGGGCACCCCAGTGTCTGCATAAAGCTCCGGTCACCTCCACATGTGCAACAAGAGCCCCCCACACACACACACACCTGTGCCCTCACCTGATCCCACATCCACTCTATGGGGCTGGCTTTGGCCTTTCAGGCCCATGATATTTTAGCTGCATCTGCTGTGGCCTCATCCAGATGGGGAAGAGGTCAAGGGCTCCAGCTAGGACTCTGCACCATTCCTGAAGACAGGGTGGTTGGCAGAATGGCCTGTGTGCCTGCGGCTGCAGTGGCAGCCATGGGCAGACAGATTGCCGCCTCCACCAGGTCCTGTCCTGAGCAACTTGCCTGGCAGCTGGAGGGGGATAGGAGTGAGGCAGAAGTCTCAGTTTATTTAAGTTCCGTGCAGAATATTAATTTATCTGCCACTTTCTTCTTGAATTTGACCCTTAGCTATGGCCTTAGCATGGTAAGGCACAGGAAAGGACTAATGGCCATCAGGACCTGTTAACCTGAGCTTCAAGTTCTCCCCCTGTGAGGGAAGCCCTCCCGTTACATAGAAGTGCATCCACACTTCAGGGAGTTCACCCTAACCCTGGAGCTGGAATACCAATGCTCCGCTCAGAGGGACGTCTCACCAGGGACATGGCCTAGTGACAGCAGACCAGGCAGAGGACAGGGCTTCCCTCCATCCCATACCAGGCGGTCACGGCAGGTGTGTTCTCTCCACAGGCCCCGGCGCCGTCAGCGAAGTGAACAACAGCACATCGAGGAGGGCAGGCTGCATCTGGCTCCTTCCTCTCCTGGTCTTGCACCTGCTCCTCAAATTTTGATGTGAGTGCCACTTCCCCACTGGGGAAAAGCTGCCGCCTCTGCCCCCACCAAGCAACAGCAAGAGCAGCACCGTCGGCGACCAATCAGATAACATTCAAACGAAATTCGGAGAAACTAAGCCTCATGGGACAGAAATTCGAGGGAGGGGAACAAAGAATACTTTGGGGGAGAAAAAAAAAGTTTAAAAAAGGAAATTGAAAATTGCCTTGCAGATATTTAGGGTACTACTGAGTTTTCTTTCTTTTCCCAAATGGGAAGAACGCACACCGGCTTGGACCCACCCTCCTCCAGCTGCAGCATCGCGTGACCGCTCTGTTGCCAACGTGAGCCAGGGCTCAGCCAACCTGCTCGCAAAGTGCCCCCCAACCATGGAACATTCTAGAGTCGGCCACCCCAAATTCAGTCAGTCAATAGAGGGGAACACAGTGTGAGCCATTCAGGCCCAGGTGGGGCACGGCGGGTCCTTTGCTGGACTGTGCCACCCTTGTGTGTGCTCCGACACAGGAAATCAAAAGATGAAGAAAGAAAAGGACAACCAAACAGCCCGACAGCAACAACAATCCCACAAACAGTCACAAAAGATATTGTTAAACTTTCTGGGTTTCCTTTTTTTTGTTTGTTTTTAATGTTTCGTTTTCATTTTCCTACGTGGACATCGCGGATAATAAGAGATTCTGAGTCATTATTAATTTTATTAATTATATTTTCAGATATGAGTCTAGAACTTAGTGCAAAAACAAGACAAAACTAAAAAAAAAAAAAAAAAAGAAAAACCACGCAGTTGAAAGGGGTGACGAGAAGTATGTTTGTTAAACGGTAAAAGTGAATAGTGTACTTCTTAACTAGGTTTACAACTGGTGGACCGTGCGCAGGCCTTAACCGCCTGGTGAGGATTTGGCCTGTCCACCAAAAAAAATACATCCGACTTAACCAACACCTCCACCAGCGCTTCAGATTTCTCCTTACTCTGGCATCTCATGCAGACAGTACTAAGCTATGTACACACCGTTTAGAAACGGAAAGGTGACCGCACTGTATTTTGGGTTCGTTGGCTATGCTTCTTTTGATGACATATATTATACAGTATATATATATGCATATTTTTTTTTTTTGTTAGAGTTCTAGCCGTTTTCTTTCTCAGCAGGGTCCTTTCTCAGACATTACTGCATGCTGTATATGGCGTTAGCTGTGTGTCGGTCTTCTACAAGACGATAGAGTTTACTGGTAATTGTGTAATCAGCTCCTGCCTTTTTTATTTCCCTGGGTTATTTACATGTCAGAGACATTTATAAGAAGTGAAAAGAGAAAAACAGAACAAAAAGCAGAACAACTAATACCAGGCGTAGCATCTTTCCAGGTGTGACTCTCTGCAGCGCGGGCAGCCTGGTGGCCTCGCCGCCCCGTGGGGCCCCGTGGCATTAACAGACGGCCAACAGCTGAACAGACTAAACCGTCAGAAACCACTCGCTCCAGCCCGTGGTGGGAATCTCTGATGCCTTTGTGACCACTGGAGAGTTCAATCCTCTTGGTTTATTTTATTTAATTTCCCGCCTTTGTGTGAGTGTGTATGAAAGAGGAAAAAAAATGCAATTTTTAGGTAACCTTTTTGTTCGTCCCCCAGAGTCTGGGAACCAGAGAAGCCTCGGGGAGGGGTCCTGGATATGATGAGGGAAAGTGGGATTGGGGGACCGGGGAGGGAGGGGTTGTCTCTGACTTGACATTAAAAAGTGTTCCATGTCCCTCTTCACCTGGTGTGGCACCTCATTCCGCGAGGCGTGGGGGTCCGAGCCTGCCTGGCTCAGGGTTGAAGAATGGGGAGGGGGATGGGCACGTAGGCCCCCTTGTGGGGTGTTGGGGGACCTTTCTGTGGCAAGTGATGCAATGACAAGCAAGGGGTCATGTGGTCCCTTGACCCGCTCTGGAAGATGTGAGGCAAGGCATGGGTCTGGTTTCAGAGGGCCTGGCCAAGGCGGCCGGCATCCTGCTCACATTGAGACACCTTTCTTCATAACCGGCCAAAATGTCAAGTCCCGTCAAGGAGAGGCTTTCAGGTTCGATGATTTCCGGAAAGCAGCAGAAGGTAGCTATCGCTAAAAGAACAACAAAAAACGGAACAATAAATCCTGGCTTGGAGATTGTTGGCTAGCCAGTTATCCCAAATCCCACCAACTAGTGTTCTGGGGATTCTCTTTCCCCCATGCCTGCCCCCTGAACCCCATCTTTAGCCACAAATGAGGAGAAAATGGAGATCTTCCTACAAAATAATATTCAAGTAATTCTAACTTGTTCTGATTGATTCTGGGAAGTAAATGAGCTGAAGGTCCACTGAGGGGCAGAAACGAGGTCAGAGGCAAAACTCTTGGGAATGGCTGCACCTGTAATTCTGGGGTCATTTTCACCAGAGAGGAATCAGGAGTGTTTGCAAGGACGTCGTGCCACCTCCAGGTGCTGCTAGTAAAACTTCAAAAAGATTATCAACTTGGCTTTCCTTGCCCTTCCTCCCCCGACCCCCATCCCCAGTTCCCAGATACCAAATTTCTTATGCTCAGAAGGTTCTGGAGCTGTGTGTCCAAGCCTCGTAGATTTTGGCCGCATTCTGCATTGTTGTTATTCCTCCTCATATCCCAGAGCCATTAACGATGAGGAGCTTTCAGTCTCCTTGGAGTGGAGGTGGGTGAGATTTACTAGCACCTCTGCGGACACTGACTTGGAGAATTTGGGAGCAGATCATGGCTCCCTGGCATGAAGTGTGAAAAAGACAGGTAATGTCTGTATTTCTAAACCGGAGCCCAGAAACTCCTCTGAATAAAATGTGCCAAAGCACCTGCAAAGAGGTACTTCCAAGACTTTTCTGGGAAAGGAGAACATAGAGCAAACAGCCTGTGTTGGAAGAGAAGCCTTCCCTTTCAAATACACTACCACTGATATCTAGTAGCAGACATATACCTACTAGACTTCTAGTAGACAACGGGAGCATCTGCTACTATATCTATGTTTCAGATCTCTCTAGCACCAGCCTCCCAGGCGTGAATAGCTGGTCAGGGCCAACTTTATAAAGTGGCATTGATAAAAAAAGTCTTAGTTTTGCCTATTTGCCAATTCCATATCCTCAACTCTGTGGTCCTCTTGTCTTCAGGGCTCTGGTTATGCAAGAACGTGTACATTGTACAACCAACTTTACCGGGACTGACGAGTTCACCAGGTAGGGACCTTTCTATCCTTGGTTAAGAAGTGTTTTCTCTCGTTTTCGGTTCAGTGTGCTGCATACGAGGTCAATTAAGTTTGCAAACTCATCCTTTATAAAGGGCTACATAGTCAGTGCTGAATATCACTGTGGTCAGCCTCAAACTTGGGAAGCCATGCACAGATGCAAGCATTTGTCTTCCCTTGAAAGCACTTCAGGGATCACTTCTTGAACTTACTTGTTAGACCTTGTATGACAACAGGTCTGATGGTCATTCCAGAAAAAAAGAGTTCCAAAATTGCTTTGAAGGGCAACCAGGCACTGATGTCAGTGCACAGCCTCCCTAGGGGAGTGCTGCAAATTTACCACTGTGATATTCAACAATGAGATGTGTAGCACTTATTCCAGCACAAGTTCACAAACTTAATTGTCTGAACTTGTAAGCCCCAATCTGCTGAGTTTCAGTCTTTAAAGTAGTGGTTCTCAACCTGTGGGTGACAACCCACAGGAACTGTATTAAAGGGCTGCAGCATTAGGAAGATTGAGAACCACTGCTTTAAAGGGAACTTATGGGTGCCCAAAGTGAAGGGGATTCGCTTTCCCAGGCCTTCACCCAGATTTAGCGTTCCATAGGAGATGAGAGGAACAATTCTCAGGCCTACCTCTCTTGGAAGCAGGGTTGGCAAGAGAGTAAAGAGAAACACCATAAATAGAGCCTGCAGGGATTTTATTTCCCCCTGGTGCAGATACTGATGGAAAACAATTGCTACAGCTTGGCCTGGATTTGAAGTGTGTTGGACCCCTTGGGACTCAGAGATAAGTCACTGCAGCTCGGAAGGATCCCTCCACTACCCCTAACATTAGGATGTCCCTCAGGCAACCATTGTTTAGGATTGGTAGGCTTCCATCCCATGTTAGCCTCTCATGATGTAGAGGAAATGATGAGAGATACACAGTCCATAGCCACTCTAGCCAAACACCCCTGCAATTCCATTTACCTTCTCTCTACATAGTATCTGCTCCTCTCCAGCCATGCACATGTGCGGTGTCTCTGTGGTCCCTGTAGTTAAACCTCTCCCCATTAATGCCTTTCCACATGGGGCCAGATGTCTAATTAAAGTGCTTGTCCAAGGGCAGCCCTCTGATCCGTGGGGTGTTCCAAGCATGTTCATAGCTGATGACCCACAAATGCTTGTTTTCATGGCTGTGGACAGTGATGACAGCGATGATGGGTGACAGTCATTGTTTTTCGAGATGGAGGTAAGTGAACAAATGAATCAACACTGAAATTTGATCCCAATTAAAGAGATTTTACTGGACTGACCCCCAGCATTGTCTTGTACCTCCTGAACCATGAGTTTAAAAGGGAAGCCGGTAGCCCTGACCACTCACAGGAACCCAGATGTGTGCATTTATTTCTTTAACACATGTCAAAGGTAGGCTCGGCAACACAAGTCTAAGGCTTTTCTACTCTTACTAGTGGTAAAAAGTTGAGGTACAAACTCATCCTAAAAAAACTCCTACATACCTCACTGCGGAGTACCACTACAGTCACCTCAACCTACTCTCCTTGGGGAGCTATGCACCAAGGCCAGCACCTCGTTCAACCTTCACAGCAATTTTTCTAGGATAAATTCACAAACTTAATTGTCAGACCTCATTGTTCTCACTAAGTATAAAAATATGTGTGAATGGAAGGATGTGGAAAGCTGAGGCTCCTGTGGATGGAAAGCCGTCCTGCCCTGGCGCTGCTACCTGCCATTTGTGCAAACACAAGTCGGGTGACTCCCCATCAGCTAAACACTTTGAAATTTTGAGATTAGTGGTATCTAATGGAGAAATTAAGTATTCCCTCTTTCCAGCATTTAAAAAAAAATTTTCAAGCCAAATCCCACAGCTGATTCGGTTCAGAACTTGGCCCTTGGGATTTGAGTATAATGTCACCTTTGTCATAACTGCTCAAGCAAACCATTCAAAAGCAACAATTCTTACCTCTCCCTATTTTCAATCTAAATACTTTCTCCACAGGTGTCCAACTCTACCTGCCTCTAAGGCAATAGGTGCAAATTACTATCCCCGTGGTTTGTGAATAACTGGGCTCTTTGGGTCTCTGCATCTTCGTTCATATTTTCCCGTTTTCCACAACTCCGTAGTTTCCCCCATTGTATCCATATCCATTGGTTAGAACTACACAGCTGTTTGTGGAAAAGACTCCCTAATCCGTAAGCTCCAGATACGATCAGTTCTTTCTGAGGAATTCATTATCCTTTATGAAGGTCACCTGGTTTGACTTTAGTTTTTGAAACGTTGATTTTACTTCACACGAGCAACCCAATACCTTGGATATCTTCTTTTGACATACTGTGAGGGTCTATCAGTTTATTTCTACATGTGAACAATTGTTAGCATTATTTGAAAATGGGTGCCCAGAACACCTGACCTAAGAAAGCCAGTGAGAACCCCAAATTAGACGATGGCAGTTGAAGATGGAGACAGGCTTCCCGGGGGATGAAACACTGGCAGAGAGGTTGGGTGACTTGCCTGTGGGCACACTGCTGGTTAGTTGAGGAATTGGGCCTCCAACTCCACTGGGCCCCGGAAGCAGAGGGAGCAAACACATGGGGAACCCCCCCCGCCCCCCCCCTGCCCCGGGCGAAGCAGGTGCGGCAGCTGGAGCAGTGATGGAAACAAAGGAGCATATAAATACCTGTTACCGGGGCATTGTGGGAAGATAGCGGAGTAGAAGCGGCTTTCCCCAGAGGCTTAAGCCCAAAGGGAGAGAGCTGTTGGACTGAAGTGGATGGAAGCTGAACGAGAGGAGGTCTGCCCTGAGAGGACTACGTGGGGTACACACCACCCGGGCTGAATCAAGTGGCAGAAACGAGAAAGTGGAAGAAAAACAACAGGTAGGAGCCCAGGCAGGGAGAAGCCTCCCCCTGAATGGGAGCTCAGTGACGGGTAATGAGTCAGTGAACTGGGTTCAAAAGTCTCCTGACCTTATCCGCGAGAGAGCAGTTGCTAAGTCCCAGTCCTCTATTACGGAGGTCCCACCACTGAGCCTAGGCTCCATTCTGTCTGGCACAAAAGAACAAACATTTTTCCTGTAATCCTGAGCACCCAGATGGCTCTTCCCCCACCCTAGTGGTGGGAAGGACTGGCCGTGCAGACTGTTTGAATCTTGCTGGGAAGCTGGGGAATCTGCTGGCCACCGAGCCACAGCATGAAAACAGTAGCATGGCAGTCCAGGCTTTGTGGGGTGAGGACGAACTACGCACCTTCAGATCCTGAGGCATTCTCAGGACTCTGAGCGCTATTGGGTGGGCAGGCCAGTGGTTAAATGACTTTGATTTATGACTGAACTTTGCATCTGCTCCTCCACAGTTCTCTAAGCTTGACTAGATGGGCAGACGGTTGTCTAAGTGACTTTGGACGAAACTTTGGGCCTCTGGCCTCTGCCAGGCTGAGCTCGATTGGGTGGACAGGGCCGCAGTTTAAGTAACTTTGGTCCGAATTTTGGATTAGCACTATCCACCAGGTGGAGGCTCTCTGAGCTCAATAGGGAG